TTCGTTCTGGTAGTAATTCTCGGTCGAAGTTGAGGAGTGCTCACGCATTATGCTGGACAATGTGTGTACAAACCCTATGTTCTATGTTTTATGTACAAACGCTATCCACGGTTCAATATAGGACAGTTTGTTGAAAATTGAAAGCCCAGGCAGGTGTCACCGTAATTCTGCAATGGTGCCCTCATAGCCTGATATAGGACAGTCCAAAAATTGTGCGCAATCTGTGTACAAAATCTATGGGGAAAAATTAATTCTTAAAAAATCAATAATAAATAAACTACGAAAGTTAACACTATGAATTTCTTCTAGGACCGTCCTTGGATGATGGCTCAAAGGTCTGCCAAGTTTGAAGTTGATCAGATTTAGTAAACTGCCAAAGTCGACTGATGGAAAGTATCGAGTTGAAGAAAAAAAAGAAAAAAAAAATAATCAGAAAAAAAATACCTGTGTCAGCAAAGTTGCCGAAACAGCTAAAATAAAACAGAACAAAAAGAATGCCTTTTTCGCAATTTGTGAAAAAGCCAACAAGGAAGAGTGTATAAATTTAAGAAATAGTGAATGAACTTCATGAAGACTTGATGATCCCTCTATTCTACAGGAGGTCCCTTTAACCTCTGCACTGCGGAGAGTAGGATTGTCCTGCCATTTGCGATGTCACTCTGCAGGACATCCCTCAAGTAGCAGGAGGTAGAGGGAGACTTCCAGTTTGCAGATTTGCAGATGTTTGCAACAGAAACGTTTCGAGAGTATGACCATGATGCAGATACTGCTTTTACATCATGAACCCTGATGAAGTGTTGACTATGTTCATCAGAGCTTGACAGCCAGACTGGATCAGCAAATCTAATGGCCGAGGCCATCCAGCAGGCAAGAGTGACTGACACCACTGGACGGTATGTTCTCGTGAAAAAGTGATGGGATTATCGTCCCTCTCATGCTGTTGTTTTAGTCAGGTACCACTTCAGACACGAACAGGGCACCAAAGTTTATCTGCATCATCTCCAGGATATAAGGAGATGAAGAGTGCAAAGATATCGATAGGATCAGGTGGGGAGTCTGATCCTTCTTCAGGAAGCCAATCAAAGGAATGAGGTAAACACCATGCGGCTCCCAACGTAGACGGCCTTTGGCAACCTTAGTTCATTGCCTCCTCTGAAGGTAACCATTATCAAGAGAAAGCCCAACCTGACACTGGTGTGTGTAAGGGAGGCATTATTTAGGGTTCAAAGGAAGGACTGGAAAGCATCTAGAGAACCTAGCTTAGTCTTGATGACCAGACCAATTTCCCAACAAGAGGACACTGGATGAACATATCATGTAAAAGATAATGGAATGCCATGCTGTTAGAGCGATTGAATCGACTTTGAAATCAACGTGTATGGCAGCTAGGGCTGACCTGTAGATATGAGTTGTAGACACTTGTAGCTCCGAGTGAAAGAAGTACATAAGGAAGTCTGTTATAGCACTCACAGGAGTGTTCGCTGGAGCCAAAGC